AATAACATCCTAACTTTATGATGGTATTTACCCACACATAATATAGAAAGGAACAGTCAATAAACTGAAGGTTAGGTTAGAAAAAAACAAGGTTGGGGTTAACAATTACGTTAGTAGAAGAGATGGGTCGGCGTACGGGAATGGAGGCTGGTTCCGAGGCAGAGGGCAGGCTACTGGCCCTCAGGTGAGTCACCATCACTGTCATCCACACTTGTCAGGGCCTCCCTGACAAAGCCCTCAAAGTCATCTTCACTGTCTCTACCTCTGTCACTATCACTGGCTTGGGCTGGCTGTGGTGGGTTGCGGGCAAAGAACTCTGTTATGCTTTGCTGACGGCTGGTGTTTATGTTGTCGTGATAAACCTTGAAGTAGGGCTCCATAGTCTGCAACAGCTGGGTAGTGAAGATTTCATACCTGTTTGCGTCATGGTCGTCGGAAAGGAGGAGCTTGATTTTCTGGACACACTCGATGGCACCCCTAACATTACTATGGGATAAGCGGTGTTCTTCTTGGGATGACGCACCACCTGCCTCTTCACTGACGTCATCATCGTCTACCATCTCGTCGGTAGTCACATCAGGATCCCTTATCACCTCCAGAATGTCGTCGTTGGTGGTCTCGGAGAAGCCTGCAGCTGTAGCACTCTGCGCAGCTTCTCTGGCAAGGTCCACTGCTACTGCAACAGTCTGAACCTCACCAGTCACAGATTGACTCTGCCTTACGCCTGGAATGCCTTGCAACACATGTCTCCATGCGTGACGAACAGTTGCTACAGACAGATGATCCCATGCCTCCACCAAGAAGTCAACAGCTTTCTTGATGTTAAATATTCTCCAGAATTGTTTGAAAAGTATTTTTTGCTCTGCCAACTGTTGATCCTCGTCTTCTTCGCTCTTGCTATCGGTGGTGGTGTCACTCAGGTTACGCAACTCTTCCCTGGTGTTGGTGTAATCGTTCAGGAGCTGGAATTTTTTTGTTGAGAATGCAGCTTTTACATTACAGATTACCTCTTGGTCCATGGGCTGTAATATAGACGTAGTGTTGGGAGGAAGGAAGACCACTTTTACGTTGAGGTGACGATCTAACAGTAGGGGCGAGTGTCCTGGTGCGTTGTCCAGCAGCAACAAAATCTTGAATGGCGCATTCTGTTGCTCACAGAATTTCTTTACATCGGGAACGAAACAGTCATCAAACCAGGAGAGGGACAGTGTAGAGAACATCCACGCCTTACGTGCGGTCAGCCAGTGGACATTTAGCTTGGTCATGTCCATGCTCTTGTAGGAGTGCGGCTTGCGGGCTGTGTGGATCACCGATAACTTGAGCTTACAGGTACCGGAGGCATTGGTGGTAAGCAGGACGGTGATGCGCTCCTTCTGCATCCTCCGACCCCGAATCTTGCTGGCATTCTTCACAACGAAGGTCTTGGAAGGTAGCTTTTTCCAAAAAAAGACCAGATTCGTCCATGTTAAACACCTGGTCGTCGGTGTACTGTCCTTCCTCCATAATCTCACGTAAAAACGGAGGAAATTCCCTAGCCGCAACACGGTCAGCACTAGCTTCTTCACCACCAATGTTGATATTGGTGATCTTGTTCCTCTTCTTAAACCTCTGTAACCACCCAGAGGAAGCATTAAAGGGTTTGGCTCTGTAATTCCCATCTTTCGTGACACTGCAGCATACAGTTCACGTGCGTACTCCTTAACTGAGCGCGTGTCCACCGCCATGTTCCGTCGCGCCTGACGCACCAAGTAGCTCACAAGTAATTTTTCCGTCTTGAGAAGCACCTGGTTGTGGAAATACTTGATCATAGAAGCACCTGTAGACTTTGTGATGTTCATGTGCTCCTTTATCTTGGCTGCATCCTTCTTAATTGTCCTGATCGTAGACTCGTTAACACCATGCTGGCGCGTGAGATCAACCTGTCTTGTTCCTTTCTCCAACTCTTGTATGATCTTATACTTAATTTCGTAGCTTAAGGAACGTCGTGTCTTCTTTGGCTTAGGGTGGCTGGGTCCAGGTAAGGAAAGGTTTCTCTCTGGGGGCGGTGGTCCGGCGGAAGCCATTTTACAGAACAATGGATGCACGATTACACGGTGTGGCCTGGAGGGATGAAACTGCTGCGGCTAGGTCAAGCGTCGTCTTTCCTCCCTCCCTCCCTCCCCCGGGTGGACACGTCATATTACTTTAAACCAATTACAGGTAGCAGTGGAGGGAGGTAGGGATGCATGGCCAATCACAGTCCGAGACGTCATATGACGTCAGTGATAACGCAACAGAGACATGCACTGCGCAACCTTACCGCGCGGCTTGGCCAGGCGGAGGAGGGAGGAGGCGGGAGCAGGCGGGTGGGGCGAATCTAAAAATAGCGTCGAGCCGGACACTCTCCGCTTAAAGGGGTACACACACCGCGGAATGTGAGCATTCCGGCAGGGCACCGCGTAAACGTGGAAACACGGAATGTGGGACCGTGTAAAGTGAGGGTTGACTGTATGTATATACAGGTAGTTCTGCTATAACGCGATAATTGTGTTCTTGTAAAATATCGTGTTATAGAAAATCGCGTAATAGAAATAACAGGGCTTATGGAGAAAATAGGGTTAGGTGCAGATTACTCTAAATCGAAAAAATTTAGTAGTTAGCCTAACACAAAGGATAGCACAGTCTAAATAAATGTTACATTCATATCTAATAATGAAATCATACAGTAAATTTAACACTTTACCTTGAAAAAATATGAATGTAACTTGATGGGGGAGAAGGGTGATTTTGAGGTTGATAACATCGAGCTTCTCTTCAAGTGTTATATCCTTTCTTTTACGATCATCACCGGGAATTCTTTCACCAGAACGCTTCTTGGAGATATTCTTCTTCACCATATTCACAGTTAATACCACAAAATTGGAGAAATAGTAAGCAAAAATCGCGTTATAGCAAACAAGCGTTCGCGTTATACAAATATCGTTCTTAATTCATAAATCGCGTTAGAGCAAATTCGCGTTATCAAAACACGCTTTATAGCAGAACTCACTGTACTGTATTGAAGCATAGCACTAGGACTGCTTGTTGAAGGGTCATACAAACTATCACTTACATTAAGAGGGCCAGGGACACCGGTAGAGGCATCAGGAGGCACCGAGTGGTGAAATCTCCTTACACTTAATATGTTTTTCCACCCCTCCACCCTCACCAGGCAACACGAGGCATGGTTGAAAATTCTCACAACAGTGTTATGAATAAATGTAATCACTGATGCACTGGAAATCAACACAAGCTGCTTAAAAATGTATTGAAAATGTGGGTCAATGTTATTTTCTGGGTCCTTTAAACAAAAAAGAGAGACTGGTGTGGTGACCTTGGAGTGCAATCTATATAATTGCCAGATCTCGCTGACATTGCCAAATGTGTGTCTTGCGTGTTTAGCATTCATGCAGAAACATAAAATTATTTAATTTTAATTTTTGCTTTCGTACGCAAATTTGTGTATGAAAACCCTAAAGTAATCATTTAGACCATATGCTCACACTCAGTGCTATCACAGCTTTCTTGGGCAAGTGTTCCATGAGTTGACAGCTCCTACTGTCACAACATTTTCTGGCGGGTTATTACAACAGTTCACAACTTTGTCTGGTAGGCTGTTCCAAGAGCTCACAACTCTTACTGTCACAACATTGTCTGATAGGTTGTTCCAAGAGTTCACAACTCTTTCTGTCACAACATTGTCTGGTAGGTTGTTCCAAGAGTTCACAACTCTTACTGTCACAACATTGTCTGGTAGGTTGTTCCAAGATTTCACAACTCTTACTGTCACAACATGGTCTGGTTGGTTGTTCCAAGAGTTGACAGCTCTTAATGTCACAACATTCTCTGGTAGGTTATTACAACAGTTCTCAACTCTTCCTCCAAAGAAGTAAGGTCTGACAATTTTCTGCATTTGTGGCTCCTGTGACCTTTAGTGGAAGACCATTGAGTATGACTGTAATATTTAATCTCTTAGAGAAGCATCAAATACTTTGAATCAGAACACCCTGAGTTCTGTTCCTTCACCACTCACCTTGAGTCGTAACAACGTTGGTGCATGGAACAGTTGTTTTGACTCCGAGTAAGTTATAATTTGTTAAAATGTGTTTTGAACTAATGGAATTAGTGTTGAAGTGAGAAAAAGTAATATCCGTAAAAAATTTTTTTTACTTTAACCTCATTGCTATTGGTTGGCTCTCTAGCCTTTAGTGTAAGAAGACCATTGAAAATGTTTTAAAATTTGGTAAATATCTTTAATATGTTTTATTAAATATGTTTTTTTAAGGTTTATTATGAAATGAAAACAACCAATCAGCTGATGAAAGCCTAGCACTGGCCAGCAGCATCTATGCCGATCACATACAATTGACGATACCCCAAGGTCTATTGCTCCATCGGTCACCATGAGTCTGAACAACTACAGTCCAAGAAGCAGTTGTTCAGACTCTAAGTGAGTTATTGGTATGGTTAAATCTGTTTTGAAATGATGGAATTAATGTTGAAATGGGGAAAAAATAGTGTGTGTGAAGAATTTTTTGGTGTATATTATGGTGCTGTTTAGCATGGAGGTCTGTGGTCACCAACCCTCAGATATGAGGATGACACTCTGATTGATTGATGGTACTGTATTCCCGTGTCCTATTTTTCCTTTTTAAAGAACTATACATATAATAAAATAAAAGTAGTTCCTTTTACTGCATGATGTCGAGAACGAGATATGAGGCTTATGAGACAATGGACATTTTCAGGTTATTATAGAAGTAACTCATTTTGACATATTATACTGTATTGTGTAATTGTAATTATTTTTTGTTACATTTTTTAGTGATATGGGAAAAATGTGGCTAGCTTTTTATTTTTTTTTTTTTTACCAAGACTGGATTTCATTGAAATCATAAGTACATGAGTGTCTGCCATGTCAAATTTGTAATGTCATTCACCTTATTATTATATTATTTATTGATGGGAGTCCCTTTCTTCAGATCGTAAAGTGTGTGCGTGATTACCGCCGTTCTCGCCGTCATCGACTGTCATCTAGGGCACTGAAGAAACTGCCAGTTCATAAATTCAAGAAAGGTGACCCTTATGAATGTTGTGCCATTTGTCTAGAGGACTACGCAGATAATGATAAGCTGCGTATACTGCCTTGTGAACATGGTAAGACCACTATTGACTGTCTTTGATAATTAATACTCATTGTGTTGCCAAGACTTGGATATACTTACTTTGAGAATATGTTTAAACATGTTCTGTGTAGTTGATAAAGAAAAGTTTCATATTCGACGGTACATATAAGAAAGAGAAGTACAACCGCTGTTTTACTTATGAATGATTAACCTTCCTGAGGCTTTTTCATCAGTCCATATGTTCTGAAGCCCAACTTTACTCCTGTAGATACCAAACATACAGGTATCCCTCGAAGAGAGAGCACTGCAGAGTCAATAATCGGCCTGTAGGTCTTGATATAGGGTCTCTGCACTTAGCTGGTAGTGGCAGCTGGTGACCAGAACACTAATGGGTGTGTGCTACACCTGATAGGAGGCATTGGTTGAGGTGGTTGGTACTGGTTCACCAAGTCAGTTAAAATAAGGTCAAGGGTATTTTGATCATGTGTGGGGAAGTTCAGAACTTGTAATAGTAGCATCTGGTCCTGGATATCAGTGGTGTCAAATTTGTTATACAGTAATCCCCGTTTGGTACTAGCTTGGTACATGGGTACCTAACTCTGAGGTAGTCTGAGGTGGTAATGAGGTGATTGATAAGAGTGTCTGATGGGTTTGTGAGGTGGATGGTATGCCACACAATATATGATGGAAGCAGTGTGCCACGGGTGGGCACGTGGCACAACTCGTACCCATAATGCCTCCGCATTAGCTGGGACTAAAACATCCAGGCTTGACAGGCGTAGTTCATCTTGACAGAGGAGGGCAACACCCTTTCTGCTGCGTCCATGTGAACGAAGGTGATGAAAGCGTTGATATCCCTCATGTGGCACGTTTCAGGAACAATATGCCAAGCTTCGCATATGGCAACGACGTTGGCAGCGACTGATCGCACTGTGATTCGTTTGACAGGCATGTGCTTGACATGACCAACATGTGGCACTCAGCTTCTTTGGCAATGAAATGGAAAATGTAATTCCTTTCAGATTGTCTCAGTTTCTTCAAAAATTAGGACTGATACAAATAAATCTATTCTGTCGATATTTTAATGAAAGGAAGGACTTACCCCTGCAAGGTTATTTTTACCCAGCCTTATATTGATTTTACAATTTCTAGTGATTCTCAAAGTGCTCGCCAGGCCTTGGCTAGTGTCTAATCACCACATCTCTTAGTTATAGATATTTTACAATGGCTTTTTTTCATCCAACATCGGGGCTGGAAAGTCAGTGTTTGCTGGGTTCTGGCCATTGTGGAGGAGAAAGTGAATGAGCGTGCTGATGCTGTGGCGAAAGCAGCTGCTTCTCGTCTTGTGGCATGTCATTCCCCTCTACCTGCCATCCACCCGAGTTCGAAATGCAGGTGGGATGCTGTCGGAGCAAACAAGCTCCGCGACATCCACCGTACATTGGATGCCTGGGGATGTCAGGGAATGTCATGCCGCCAGGAGACTGCTTTAGACCACCTCCGCATTGGCCACACACGGCTGAATCATGGTTTTTTAAAGGAGAGGGAGCTTAGTTTCCATTGTGATGACTGCCTATTTCTAGTGACTGTTAGACACCTCCTGGTGGAGTGCCCCAGTCTCAGAGATCTTCATCGTAAGCCCCTCTCGCAATGCCGGGAAGGAAACGGATCTTCTGTCTCTTTTTGGTGCTCGAGGGAGGAGTAAATAGCATGGGAAGGGACGTCCTCTCCTTCTTGGAGGAAGTCGGCCTTCAACACAAGCTTTGAGTTTTATCTATTAATGTTTAAATGGTTTTTATTTTATTTATTATTTATGTTTTTACCTTATATTATTTGTCTTTAGTCTTTTAAGCTTTAATTTTAATTCGGTGACATGTGACCTAAGCTGTTTTGTCGCCATGGATTTAATTACAGTGGTACCTCGGTTAACGAGCACAATTCGTTCCAGAAGGTTGCTCGTTAACCGAAAAATCCGTTAACCGAAACCATTGTTTCAATGGGTTTTTGGGTATTTGGTTCCAGCTCACCGAAAATTGCCTAAAGTCAACAAAAAAGGTAGTAAAGTACACTTACTTTGAGGTGTGTATGTAGAAGGCTCCTGGATGATGATGCTGATGATGGGAATTAGAATCGGGGTGGAGGAGAAGGGAGAAGAGAAGGCATTGGGGTGGAAGAGAAGTCCCCCCATGGTGCCATTTCACCCATAAAATTTTAGTTCACTTGGTGTAATTCAAGATTATTTTCTTTAAATCAACACTGCACTGCATTATATATTGTCAATATGTAAAATAAATTTCAAAATGACCAATAATTTGCTTGGAAACACTGGAAAAAAGCGTTTATGTTGAAGAGAGTCTGAAGCAAGATGTTACCTCCACTGAAAAGACACAGAGACTGACGCCTGTATGGTGTGTTGACAGGCTGTTTGGCGCACAAAAATCTAGCTTCCTATACTTCAATTATGTTCAATAATTGTTAAAATGACTAAAAAGTTTAATATAAAACTCTTAAAATTATTGAATACAGGCATCCCCCGCGTTACGGAAGCCCGGGTTACGGAATTTCGCTCTTACGGAGTTTGTAAATTATGACCAATATTTTCGCGTTACGGCCCGTAAATCCGCCCTTACGGATATTTGGGTAAATTTTAACAAACACAAGGCCTCACACATGCCATTCAGACTGACAGACTTGACAAATTTTACCAACCATAAAGACAGTTGAAGTTTTAAACATCACTCACAATGGATCTTGAATATTCCAACTGTAATCAGACATACCTAAGTTGCCTCAACAATTGCAACCCCAGTTGCAATATCAAATTCTGTGTCACCACTAAAAAATAAAACAGTAGTCCCTGGTGCTTTCTTAAGATTAAGAGAAAACGGACGACTCAGGCGGCCTTGAAGTGAGAGAAAACGGACTCCTATGACGGGGCACTCAAATAATCAAACACATAGCTGTATAATGCAATATTATGCAATATTAACCCCTAAATTGGTGTTTTAAGAAGGTATATCATAAATTACTTAACCCTTTGGATGCGACATGCGGGTAAACCCGCCCAAAATATTATATTAATTAAATGCGACAAGCGGGGATATCCCACGGCCTTGAAAAAACTTCCCCAAATGAGACGACATGCGGACATATTATGTATTGAGGTATAGGAGTATTTCCTGAATGCAATATAGCTTATTTTTGTACTATTTTGTTTGATATTATCTGAATATGTAATACATATCTAAATTTGCTGTTTAGTAACCAAATTGATTAAATTTATTTGCCATATACCAGACATTGATTTATACCAATTTCCTGCATTTTTGGGTATAAATGTCATTTTTTCTCTAAAATTTGCACACATATGTGAATTTTTGTTCCAGATTTGGAAAATATACTAAAAGTTCTCTAGGAAAAACATATAGAAAATGTGATTATATGAAATTCATTTTTGGCAGGATAATTGACACTTTTCAGGAACCGGCGCGAAATTTAATTACGCACCTAAAGGGTTAATGTACTGTATTGTATGTGTTTACAAATGTTTATTTTCATTAATAAAAGTGCTTGAATTACTTTTTTGGGGCCGAAAAAATTCCTTAGGAATGCATCTCCAGTTTTATAATGGAAGTCAATGGGAAAATAGGTTTCGTGCTACGGAATTTCGCGATACGGTCAATTTTCCGGGAATGGAATCCTTTCGTAACCCGGGGATGCCTGTAGTACAAACTTCTTGATATTTACTAAAATAGTTAAGTAAGGAATTTAAGCCCTACAACCGATTACTGTATTGGCGAAATAATACTACAGCTGGTGGACCGCCAAATGCAAGCGAAAACATCTGGAGGGGCGCTCAAAAGAAATTCGTGAATCGAGGGACTGCTTGTTAACCGAAGTTAAGAATCTTATGGAAGGTAATTCGGTAAACAAAATTTCGTTAACCGAGGCTCTCGTTAACCAAGGGATCACTGTAATATAATCAATAAATCAATCAATCTTTCTATAAGGACACCCATTTGCAAGTTAAACACTGAATTTTATTGTGTTTTAGAAATATCCAATTTAAAAGGTATTTATTGCCAAGTGAAAATTTTTGTCACCAATGCAGTGCCGAAATCATCAGTTGGATGATAAATCATCAAGTCTTACATCCCTCCCATGCAGACACACTGGCTCAGCAGTAGGCTCAAGGTAAAAATCTACCTCAGGCTCCATTATGTTCTCAAATGTTTTATGTTATGATTCTTTCTTCTATACAGTAATACCCCGCTTAACGCGGTTTCGCTTAGCGCGATTTCACGTATATGCTGTGCCTCCCCAGAACCGAACTTTCACTTAACGCGGGTTTTTTCCACGTATACGCGCAGAGTGTCTGGCTTGAGACGCTATTTTTAGATTCGTCCCACCCGCCACCCCCTGCCTGCCTGCCTGTTTTAGCTCATAAAATTCATACAAATTACCCGGCCAGAATATAATTTACATTGCTGGAATTCTTACAATATGATGATCATTTTGAATATAAACATCATAGATTTTGCATTAGACATACAAATTTTAGATATAATGTTTACTCTGAGTAAATATGTTATTTTTTGTGCAAAATATATGACATTTGTATTCAAAATATTCCTGGTCTTACAAGGAATCCAGCAATGTCAATTATATTATCCTAACTTTAGTTTGAGGTATTATTTATTACTAAAAAGGTAAATATTCTGGTTTTCCCACACATCTGGTAGGGAGGGACCGACCGACCATCTGTTATGGTGTGAAGAATATTTTTTTTTTTTATTAACTGAAGATATTTGTTTTAGCTCATAAAATTCATACAAATTACCTGGTCAGAATATAATTTACATTGCTGGAATTCTTACAATTTGATGATCATTTTGAATATAAACATCATAGATTTTGCATTAGACATACAAATTTTAGATATGTTTACTCTGAGTAAATATGTTATCTTTTGTGCAAAATATATGACATTTATATTCAAAATATTCCTGGTCTTACAAGGAATCCAGCAATGTCAATTATATTATCCTAACTTTAGTTTGAGGTATTATTTATTAAAATTTAGTGGTTTTCCCCCCAAAATTTCTCAGAGAGGGAAGAGCCAGGGAGTGTAGTGTGAGAAAAGGGGGAGGGAGTTGAGTCCATTATTTGAATGGACATTAACTTGGCGACTGTATTTCTCTATTTCTCTTAAGTATTAATTGTGTGCATGTACCATCATAAAATTAAGATGTTATTTTTACTAGAACATAGGTATTGTGTCCGAAAAAGTAGAGTTTGGGGGTCCGGCCAGTCTTTATTGGAATTATTCCCATATGTTCTGTTGTTCACTTAACGCGGTTTTCACTTAACACGGTACCCTGTGGGTTCAATTGACCGCGTTAAGTGGGGTACTACTGTACTTTATTTTAAAAGGTTTTAACAATAAAAAATATAAATAAAAAATATGGTATACTAGTAGGTTTATTTATAAACAGTGGAAATTTATTATTGCCTATACAGGGTAATTCATTTTGGTACTTGGGTAAGTTGGTGGCTGGAAGTGAGCCTCAATGTCAGTGGGCCCAGGGCAACTGCCCCTTTTACCCCTTGGATAAGAAGGCCCTGTATGTTGGGATAGTTCTTTATTTCGGGCTAATTCGTCTGACCCAGAGCCCAACGATATAAAATGAGCTATTGTTCAGTGTACTGATATTTGCATAGTTTACTTAGAACATATTAGTTAATTCTTTTCCTCTCTAGTTGCAGATATGTTATCCTATACCTCTTTCTTTTTACAGCTTACCACACAAAGTGCATTGACCCGTGGTTGACAAAAAATCGACGAGTGTGTCCTGTTTGTAAGCGAAAAGTATTTACGGGGGACGAGAGACCCTCCGATCTGGAAACAGATTCGGAGGATGAAAGTAGCCCCCTCATCAACTCTGATGGTGGTACACAGGGAGGCACCTTCCAGAATCAGAGGGTAAGCTACGACTTGGACATTGTTTTGTTTAAAAAATTTATTGTAAAGAGATATTTTTGTATTACTGGAAATCTGCGAAACAGAAGTTGTTTTGAATTGCCTTTTTATACTCAATAGAAAGCATGGTATAAGTTTAATGAATACATTGATGTGTGTTTCTCTGATTTCTACCATAATCTAATAAAGAAAACCACATCTAGAAGAGGCTCTGCCTTGACAGTACAGTATTGATAAACCGAATCAAAAAGGCTTATATAGTTGGATCAGTAGGGTAGTTCTTGTAAATTTAGATATCTTAGTTATTATTAAGTACTTTCTTGTAAATTTAGATATCATAGTTATTATTAAATACTTTATCTTTTCTTGTCCTTTGAGTATTTTTGTCAGGCTCAGAAATACAGTATTGATCAAATGTTCTACTTTACTCAACTGTATTGCTTCTCCTTTTTGTATACGTACAATACATTCTTTACAGTATTATCCAGCAAGGTTGGGGCTCAGGATACAAAAACATATATACAGCAACTCCCCGACTTACAACCTACTCGACGTACAACCACCCGCTCTTACGACCTGCCTCAGTCCGTAACGACCACCCGCACTTACGACCTGCCTCAGTCCATAACGACCACCCGCACTTATGACCTGCCTCAGTCCGTAACGACCACCCGCACATACGACCGCAAAAGTCGGCACCAAAGAATTTTTCAAATGACTCGCGCATTTTCTGTACCGAAACATTTCCGTCCCTTACGAGAGCGTCGCATGGCTTGGGTCGCCTCGTGGCTACAGCACCCACACCGTAGAGCGCTTAGTTGGTGTTTGGTTGTCGTTGTATCTGCAACTGATCGCGCTGTGTACTGACAGTATTTTCGTATTTAATGGACTTTACAATGACAGGAAATTGTACAAGTGAGAGTGCTGGTAGTGCTCAGAAGAAAAGGAGACAGTCAATTACTTTTGAGATGAAAATGAAGATAATAAAGCAGCATGAAAATGGAAAAACTGTAGCAACAATTTCACGCGACCGAGGCTTCTCGCACTCGACCATATCTACTATTTTGAAGGACAAGAAACGTATTCATGAGGTAGTGAAAGGATCAGCACCTATACAGTAAAGGGAACTATAATAATGAAGAAAAGACAAGGTCCCATTCATGAGATGGAAAAGTTACTTGTGATATGGATGGAAGACCAGATACAAAACTGTGTACCCTTAAGCCTTCTAACCCTACAGGCTAAGGCAAGAAGCCTTTTCGAAAGCCTGAAGGAGTAGGCAGGAGATGAGTGCGAGCAAACCTTCACAGCAAGTCATGGGTGCTTCAACAGATTTAAGAACCGCTACAGTTTACATAATGTTAAGGTGAGTGGAGAGGCAGCTAGTGCTGATGTTGGTGCTGCCGAAGCTTTTAAGGAGGAGCTAGATCATGTCATAGTGGAAGGAAATTATTTGCCTGAGCAAATATTCAATGTGGATGAAACTGAATTATTATGGAAGCACATGCCTGAACGGACATACATCCACAAAGAGGCGAAAACAATGCCGGGATTCAAGGCTTTCAAGGACCGAAATACACTTCTGTTGAGGGGGAATGTAGCTGGTTTCAAGATAAAGCCCTTCTTGATCTATCATTCAGAGAACCCCAGGGCTTTTAAACATGTCAGCAAGCACACACTGCCAGTGTTTTATCTAAGTAACAAGAAAGCCTGGATGACCCTAGTACTGTTTGAGGATTGGTTCATGACTTGTTTCATTCCTCGAGCCAAGGAGTATTGTCTGCAACAAGGGATTGCATTCGAGATTTTGCTTATTTTGGATAATGCTCCGAGACACCCACCACACCTGGACGACATGCACCCTGATGTTAAGGTAGTCTACATTCCACCTAACACTACCTCTGTCATCCAATCCATGGATCAAGGTGCTATTGCAGCTTTTAAAGCTGCTACTGAAGGTGAGAAAATGCTCAGAGAGTTTTGGAAGGACTACAACATTTTGACATGTATAAAGAACATTATTGCAGCATGAGATGAGGTTACAGAACAGTGCATGAATGGAATATGGAAGAAAGTCCTGAAAAGATATGTGAACAGTTTCAGAGGATTTAATGAAGATGAAGTAATTTCTGAGATTAGTCACAAGATAGTGGAGTTGGGTAAACAGCTTGAGTTAGAAATTGATTGTGAAGATGTTGAACAGATGGTTGAAAGTGTAGCAGAAGAGCTAAGTAATGAGGATCTTATCGAACTGGAAGCACAGAAAAATGCAGAGGAAGAAGCGAGTCTAAATGTAGAAGAAGAACCTGCACCCCCCCAAAAATTTTTCAGTGAAGCAAATGGCAGAGGTATTGCTACAATTAATAAAGGGATGCAAATGTTTGACGGAATGGATCAATATGTTGAGCGTTTTGCCAAAGTTGACAGAATGGTCCAAGATGCACTTGCTTGCTACAGGGAGATTTATAATGAAAAGAAAAAGCAAACTGTGCAGTCTAAATTGGACATCTATTTTAAGAAGTCCCCCATTGCTGTCTCCTCACACCCCACCAGTGCTGCCTCTTCACTCCCTAAAGATGATCCAATACCTTCAACCAGCAAGTTTCCCCTGTACATAAACCTGTCTGAAGAAAGAGACATTGATGACCCACCCAGCCCTGTCTCCTCCTCTGCTTCATCCAATTAATATACAGTAGTCTCCAGGTATACCTGTAAATAAAAAATTATGGGGGCCCTGTGTGCATTCAGCTGACTACATTAAAGGTAAGTGCACAGTAACACTGCATCCATTCTTCATTATTGATTACTTTTACTGTACTGTATTTCATTTTAGAGTTTATATGTATTATTTTTTGCATTTCCGACTTATTACCTGGATTTGGGTCCCTAACTCCGTCGTAACTCGGGGAGGAGCTGTATATTTTTTTCAAGCACAAAGGAATCCTGAACCAGTGGTCTTTTATTATATGCCTACAATAATATAAACAAAGAGCACAACTACCAAACCAATTGTAATAGTAACGGCACAATCCTAACATAATATATCTTCTTAATATTACTGTAATAAAATCTTATTCAATTCTTCTAGATGCTATCCACATGTTTGAGGGTTGGTGACTGTTTTACTTTAAAGGTTCAAGTACTGTTTGAATTCAATTTTTGCATTAATTGGGAGTCAGTGCTGTTCATTTAGAAATGGAATAGCAGTAGTTCCTAGTGGAAGTACACGACAGATTGGACCTTCTTTAATAGTAAACCCTTGATAACTCGGCACCAATGGAGCTCTGGCCTTGCCGAATTATCCCAAATTCTGAATTTTTAAGGCCTCCCCCCCCCCCTCTTACAATTATACATCAATTAAACATTATCGGCCCATATACGTGTTCATATAATTACAGTGGTTCCTTGGTTAACGAATGCCTCGGTTAAAAAAATTTTGGTTAACAAATTACCTTCCATAAGAATCTTCACTTCGGTTAACGAATTCCTTACGAATTTTTCCCAACATGTTTTCGTCTGCTTTCGGCTGCTCACCAGCTTTAGTATTAGTCCGCCAATACAGTAATCGGTTTTAGGTTGTACTATTCAATAATTTTCCAAGTCTTATATTAAATTTTTTAGTCATTTTAGCAATTATTTAACATAATTGAAGTACAGGGAACTAGTTTTTAGCACGCCAAACAGCCATTTGACTTGCCCAGAATGGTGTCAGCTTGTGTCCCTGCTCAGTTGAGGAAGCATCTTGCAGTGCAGTGCAGTGTTGATTTAAAGAAAATAATCTTGAATTACACCAAGTGAACTAAAATTTTATGGGTGAAATGACGATATGAAGCATGGGGTGACTTCTCTTCCACCCCAATGCCTTCTCTTCTCCCTTTTCCTCCACCCCCATTCTAATTCCCATCATCATCATCATCAACCAGGAGCCTTCTACATGCACACCTCAAAGTAAGTGTACTTTACTGCATTTATTTTTAGTTTGTATGTAATTTTCGGTGAGCTGGAACCAATTACAGGCATCCCCTGCGTTACAGAAGGGTTCCGTTCCCGGAAAATTGACCGTATCCATTATAAAACTGGAGATGCGTTCCTAAGGAATTTTTTCGGCCCCAAAAAAGTAATTCAAGCACTTTTATTAAAGAAAATAAACATTTATAAACACATACAATACAGTACATTAAATAATTTATGATATACCTTCTTAAAACACCAATTTAGGGGTTAATATTGCATTATACAGCTATGTGTATGTTTATTTGAGTTTCCCATCATAGGAGTCCGTTTTCTCTCACTTCAGCACTCCTGAGTCGTCCGTTTTCTCTTAATCTTGAGAGTGCACCAGAGACTATTATTTTTTAGTAGTGACACAGAATTTGATATTGCAACTGGGGTTGCAATTGTTGAGGCAACTTTGGTATGTCTGATTACAATTGGAATATTCAAGATCCATTGTGAGTGATGTTTACAGCTTCAACTGTCTTTATGGTTGGTAAAACTTGTAATTCTGTCAGTCTGAATGGCATGTGTGAGGCCTTGTGTTTGTACAACGGCTAAATATATAAATATATAATGTTATGGTAATTATCAGAAACACACATAGGCATGACGAGGTTTATTACAAAGTGATGAAAAGGATGCTGTATAGTGGGTAGTCCACAAAACATGTAGCCATGTCTCTTTATTTGAGTGCCCCCTCATAGGAGTCCGTTTTCTCTCACTTCAGGACGCCTGAGTCGTCCGTTTTCTCTTAATCTTAAGAGTGCACCAGAGACTATTATTTTTTAGTAGTGTCACAGAATTTGATATTGCAACTGGGGTTGCAATTGTTGAGGCAACTTAGGTGTGTCTGATTACAGTTGGAATATTCAAGATCCATTGTGAGTGATGTTTAAAGCTTCAACTGTCTTTATGGTTGGTAAAACTTGTCAAGTCTGTCAGTCTGAATGGCATGTGTGAGGCCTTGTGTTTGTTAAAATTTACCCCAATTTCCGTAAGTGCGGATT